TCTGCCTCCTGAGTGCTGGGATTAAAGGTGTGTCCCACCACAGGTTTTTTCTTTTAATGACAGGATCTCACTATATAGCTCTGGTTAGCTAGATACTTGCTGTGTAGCCTAAGCTGATTGAAACTTGTGGCAATCCTCCTGCCTTATCTTCCCAAGTCCTGGGATTACAGGCATGAACCACTTGACTTGTGGACACATTTTATAAATGAACAACCCGGTACAGTGACATCGACTGATAGATTGATCAGGCATAGATCGATACAATCTGGGCAGCCAATTGGGATGCCAGTGGCAGTGGGAAGGGTAGCCAAGGTCCTGGAACCAGACTGAGGTAAGAAAGTTGGCCTCAGTCTGTGTCTGGTGGCAGGAGTGGGGAGACTGTCCCAGAAGTCAGCTGTACCCACCTCTCTACAGTGACAAGTTTCCCTTGAGGAAGCCAATCATGCTGGGTCCCTGACTTCTGCAGGAGGGAGAATGAAGCAGGTGCTGGTCCACCTGCTTTTTGATGGACATAGCGCTGGCGTTCCTCCCAGGCTCAGAACACGCCTTTTATTCTTAGGCCTCCCTGCCTTTCTGAACCCAGGCTAAAAATTGCTTCAGTTCTTCCTGGAGTTACTCATCGCCCGGTGACTAATGGTTCAGTCCATCCATCTTTAAATCCTTTTGTTGATTCTCAGCCTAGGGTCTTAGGAACAAAAGTTGAAGAGATATTCAACCGGAAGTAACCAGATGGCCTTCCTGCTTAAGCTGTACTTTCTAGAGGGTGGGCAGTATGGATTGCACCACAGTCAAGTGGCCATGGTAACTTAGGAAACACAGTGGTCTATCACTTACCTGTCTCCCAGCATGTAATTTACTCTGTAAGGCACTTACACATGACGGCTTTATCTCAAATTATTATGTGCTGAAATCTGCTGAGAAACAGGCTGCAAAGTGGGGCCTGAAATGGGGCAGGATTCAGGTGTGTTTTGAAAGGTTGTTTTCTCTCAACAAGCTGTCAAGGCCAAATTCTTTGCCTCAGTGCTGCCCTTACCCTCTCCAGTCTTGACACCTCTCACACCTGTTCAAATACATGTCTCCCCCAGCTCTCCAGACACCCTACTCACTCTGTAAACATAGCTGGCTTTGAACTCACAGGGATCTTCCTGCCTCTGCTTCCCAAGTGCTGGGATTAAAGGTGTGTGCCACCACCACCTGGTGAGAAACCCTTTCTTGAATAACTTGTACAGGCTGGTTTTGTGTGTCAACTTACACAATCAGTCATCAGAGAAGAAGGAGCCTCAGTTGAGGAAATACCTCCTTGAGATTAATTAATTAGTGATCAATGGGGGGGGGCCCAGCGGTGGTGCCATCACTGGTTTGGTAGTCCTGGGTTCTATAAGTGAAAGACCCCTGAAGAGGTACTTTCGTAGGAGGAGACCCGTACCCAGGAATCAGCGAGACCACGAACTTGGATGCAAACTGCAAGAGGCTTTATTAGCGGCACGGGTACCCGGGGAGGCTTAGCTTCTGTTGGGCCAAGCGCCCCAAGCCAAGGGAGAGGGGTCCTTATATAGCAGAAAGCGCAATACAGAAGCGAGAAGCAGAGATTCTATTGGATAATTCAAATGAGGCGCAGTACAGTGTTATTCCTATTGGTCAATTTAAATGAGGCGCTATATAGGGTTATTCAAATGAGGTGAAGTATAGAGTTATTCAAATGAGGCAAAGTACAGAGTCATTTCTATTGGATGGTTCAAATGAGGCACAGAGCCATTCCAGACCAGCATATCCATCGGGCGGGGGCGAGGGGGCGGGCCCCCGGGCCGGCCCACCTGATGCTCGCCCTCGGGCCGGCCCACCGGGCACCCTCGGGCCGGGGTGGGGATCGGGGAAGCCGCCGACCGGAGGAGGAGGCAAACTTGAGAAAGAAAGGGCTAAGGGGCAGGGGTCTTTCACAAGAAAGCAGGTTGAGCAAGCCATGGGAAGCAAGTCAGTAAGCAGCTCCCCTCCATGGCCTTTGCCTCCAGTTTCCTGCCCTGTGTGAGTTCCTACCCTGACTTCCTTCAGTGATGAAATATGATGTGGAAATATAAGCCAAATAAACCCTTTCCTGCCCAACTTGCTTTTTTTGTCATGGTATTTCATCATAGCAATAGAACTCCTAATTAAGCCTTAACCTAAACGGGGAAGCGGGGGGATGACTCGAACCTTTAATCCTAATCCCAGCACTCGGGAGGCAGAGGCAGGTGGATCTCTGTGAGTTTGAGACCAGCCTGGTCTATGAGAGCTAGTTCCAGGACAACTTCCAAAGCCACAGAGAAACCCTGCCTCAATACCCCCTTTCCCCCCAAAAAAGACTTAACCTAAAAATAAAAATAATAAAAAAAAATAACAATAACTGTGAACTGGGTGGTTTGTAACAGCTTTCATTCTCACCATACTTGAAGGCTGGAGATCCAAGATCAAGGTGCCCAGAGATCCAGCATGTGAAGAGGAACTGCTATTTGGCTAAGAGCTGGTGACTTACATATGGTTAAAAGCCCATTATTAAAAATTGTGTATTTGTAGCCGGGCGTTGGTGGTGCATGCCTTTAATCCCTGAACTCGGGAGGCAGAGGCAGGCAGATCTCTGTGAGTTCCAGGCCAGCCTGGTCTCCAGAGCGAGTGCCAGGATAGGCTCCAAAGCTACACAGAGAAACCCTGTCTTGAAAAACCAAAAAAATAAAAATAAAAATAAAAAATCATGTATTTGCCAGGTATACACACCTGTAATCCCAGTACTTAGGAGGTAAAGGCAGGAAGGCAGATCTCTGTGACTTTGAGAGCAGCCTGGTCTACCTACGAAGTTCCAAGCCAGTCAGGGATTCATAGTGAATCTATGTCTCAAAATCACAATAATCAAAATAATAATATTAATGTCTTTGTTGATCATGCTAGCACATGCCTACAATCCCAGCACTCATGAAGCTCAGGCAGGAGAATCATTCATTGGAGACCAGCATTGGCTACATAAGGAGATCCCAACTCACAAAACAAGGCCAGGAGGGTGGCTCAGTGGGTCAAGGCACTTGCAACTAAGCCTGATGACCTGAGTTCAATCCCCAGAACCCACCTGGGGGAAGGAGAGAATCAGTTCCCACAAACTGTCCTCTGACCTCCATGATGTTCACAGTTTTAGCTCTGATATGTAAGCCCTCCTTGACTGAGAACCCCCTCATCCCACCCCTGGAATCTGTCCATCCAGGGAACAGCCATGTAAGTGATACCCAGGACACACTTCTGCCTTCATTGTGCCAAGATATGGTTATGGTATCTCTTCACAGCAATAAAACCCTAACTAAGACATCATCCCAAGGTAGAAGGCAGAGAAACACTAGACACCTCAAAGCCCACCCTCAGTGACACACCTCCTCCAACAAGGCCACACCTCCTGGTCCTTGCAAACAGTCCACCAACAGGGAGCCACACATTTGAATATACACAGCTATGGGAACTGTGCTCATTCAAACCATCCCAGACTCCTTAGGTGTGGCTCAGCTGAGATCCCTGGACTCTTGGGGTCTATCCTAGATCAAGAAATAGGGATCCGATCCCTTAGGAGCCAAGAAACTGAGAGCAAAGTGGCCCCCGACTCCCAGTCTAGCTGTGTTTACAGCAGGGTTTGTGCTTCTGGGAACCTGAGTCCTCTGTTGAGGAGTGTCCTGGAGTGTACAGGCCTGGTGGTTGGATCCCTCTAGTCCTCACCACTTTTTTCTCTTTATGCTTTTGGTTTGCCTGGACTAAAGGGGCGAAGGCAGTTGGAGGAAGAGGCTGCTTCTGAAGTTTGCCCAGGAAAAAGAAAAGGCACAAGTGACAGATTGAGGTACCGAGGGAATGAGGTCATTTGCAGTGAGGATTCCTTAGACCCGAAAGAGCCAAGGGGACAACCTCAAAGGCAGTGGTTGGTGCTCCGGGCACTGTGGATGCTTTTCACCCAGTAATCCTTGTCAATGATTTGTAAGCTCTGGCCTCTTTTCTTGGTCATTAGTGGCCACAGACACAAGGTCATGAAACGACTTTACTGGGTTTTGCAAAGATTTGGTGCCCTCCCACCTTTCCAAGTCTATTTTGTTTTATTTTGTTTTTCAAGACAGGTTTTTCTGGTGGCTTTGTGGAGGCTGTCCTGGAACTAGCTCTTGTAAACCAGGCTGGTCTCGAACTCACAGAGATCTGCCTGCCTCTGCCTCCCGAGTGCTGGGATTAAAGGCATTCACCACCAACGCCCAACTCCTTTCCAGGTCTTATGTCTCTTGTAGCCCAGATTGTCCCCTGGTTTGCTATGTAGCCGAGGATGACCTTAAACTCCTAATCCTCCGGCCTCTTCCTCCCAAATGCTGGGATTATAGGTGTGCACCATCACTCTAGGCAAGTTTCAGAGAGTTACATGAAATATGCTAGGGCATACCAAGTGTGCAGTAAAAGCTATTATCATCAAGCAATTAATTATTCCTAAAATGTACTCCACAATGTACTCCATTTAATTAATCCAATCAAGTATTCCTTACAATGTGATTCCTCTTTCTGTTCACTTTTTCTGGTGCTGGGATTAAAGCTAGGGCCTTCGCACCTACTTCAACTGAGCATCAATCCCTACTTCCCTAAGCAATTCGGATCCTTCTCCTCTCTTTAGAGCTGACCTGGTCCCCAGGACTCTCTCCAAGATACTGCAAACTTGACATGCTGGCCTCTGCCACCAATCTGTGAACCTGGAATCTATGACCACTGGAGTTCCAAATTGCTGATCTGGAGATGGGAAGCGGAAGAAGTTCACTTTCCCCAGGACTGTGAGAGGGGGCTGGGTGGGGGCTGAAAAGAGGAGAGCCAGTGCAGCAGAATCAAGCCAGTCCCCATGAGTGGCTCTGAGAAGGTGGACTTGAGCCTGGAGATAACTGGGACATTGAGAAGGGACGTGTGGCTCAGACAGATCAGACAGCCGGGCTCCCAGCTGCCTGTGTTCCAGCTTCTGTGCACAGGCCTTGTGGCTGGAGGGGTCCTTTTAATCTCTAAGGGCTATAAAGCCCTGGAGTTCGGTGGGAGCTCCTTGGACAGCGGCTCCTAGGAGTGTCACCCTGGAGGGTGCCAAGGCCAAGAACCCGTGAGGAATGAATGAATGAACCACAATGGGGAGTGTATCCCAGATGAGATGGCCTAGTGCTGACCCGGGTATGCAGAGAAGCTGGGCGCCCTTGTGCTGCCGAAAACACAGAGGATCTGTCCGGGTCATTTCTGTCGGCCCCTTTCCCGGAGGGGCGTGGCCTGCGCTTGACACGTTTTTCAGCCCGCCCCTCGACGCAGCAGAGGGACTGGCTGAGCCCTAGCCAGCGGCCTGGGCAGCTAGGGCCCCCCAACACCACGCTCTGCCCGGCATGGAGGGCGAGTGCCGGGTGCTCTCCATCCAGAGCCATGTAGTCCGCGGCTACGTGGGCAATCGGGCGGCCATGTTCCCGCTGCAGGTACATGCTCTGCCGCTTACATAACTCGGTGGAGCAGCTCGGGTGTGGGGCTGCGGGTTCGCAGCGTGGCTTCCTCCTGTCCCTCACCCCACTCGGGACCGATGACCTTGGTCCCTTGCAGCCACCTTCGGGTCTCCGTCTGGAGCTGGACACGCTGCGGTCACAGAGCCTGGCGCACGCAGGCCGGGGGCGTGGAGCATACAGTAGGGTCGTGAAGGTGACACGAAGCCCCGTGCCAGGCTGTGCCCACTCAGTAGTCCGGTGGGTCAGTGCTGCTGCTTCCTGTTGCTTGGCCAGCCGTGGATAGGAGGCTCCTGCAAACGATGAAATGCTGAGCTGCAAAGACCCTGCCCGGCGGCCAGAGCTTTGGCAGCCTCTTGGTAGTAGACACATTGGAGGGTGATTGCTCATTCCCTGTTGAAATCCAGGGTCTGTTTCTGCCCACCATGTGATCCTGGACCAAGGAAGCTGAGTAAGGTCAAAGAAAGGTCCGTGCCCTGGACGCTGAGCCCCACTTTGGGTCTGATCACTCCTGGGGTGATCTGTCATCCACTGGGATGGGACTGGAAAAGCCCTGCACCTCGCACAGGTCTGTTTCTATCTTAAGAGACAGCACAATTTGCTGAGTTTGGCTTTGGAAGCAACCTGTTAGAAAGGCTGTAGCCTTGTCATCTTCCCAGAGCCATTTCTGACCCGTGGTGCTTCCTGCTTGTGATCTGGTGGCCCTAGGAGGGAACCAGGGTGCAGTGGGTATTAGAACGGAGACTAGAGGCAATGTCAGAGTGATTGACACTTCCTTGCCTGGCTGGTCCAGCAGGAAGATTGGCCTGACCTGGCCAGCCAAGAGGTGGCCTTGCCTTCTTCACTGTACCTCTTTGGCTGGTCACTGAGCAAAGCGATAGGCTCCTGTACCCCTTCTGCTCATGCCCAGCCGCTGTACTGACGCCTGGTGGGGGGGCATTAGGAAGGAGCACCTGGCTATCACGGCCCTGCAGGGAGGACCTGGAAGGAAGACAGCTGGCCCAGAGCACTAAGAAAAGTCCTGAGGCTGTCATGCTTGGCAGACAAAATAGGGCAAATGATTATGGGTGTACAGTACAGGGGTTCAAGTCCATAGGCACAGGGTGGTTGCTGAGACTTGAGCGCCTATTGGTTGATAAACAATTCTTTACCCACTCCATCACCTACTCTTAGTTTACTCTAGATGCACTGGTCTGGTGCTTCATGCTCTTAACCATTGCTCTCTAGCTTTTGTGGCCAGGGGTGGGTAGCAAGGTGACTGAGATGAGACTGTACTTAGGAGCAAGGGGGGTAGCGTCTCTGAAGCAGGGACAGCCAGGGAGGGTGGGGTCAGGCTGAGCTCCAAGCAGTCACCTCACCTTGGGCAGAGGTGTGCAGGGCTCCTGAGGTCCTGTGTCCTGCATCCCTCGCCTCTTCCCCTTGCTGCTGCTCTCCCTTCACCGAGTCCTCTGTCCCTGGCTCTCCTGGCCTTCTGTCCTCTAGACTGCACCAAGGGCTCAGTTTCCTCACTTAGTGTTCCACCTGCTCAAGGGAGGAGGGTCCTCTTAGCGTCTTTCCTCCAGAGAGGCACCTAAGGACCTGGGGGCTCCTTCAAGGTCCTTGCTGGCATTTTGCTACTCACCATAGCTCTGTGGAGTCCTGGATAGGGAGCAGCAATGGCCTGGGTAGAGAAGGACATCTCCACCATGGAGAGCCTTAGTGAGCACACGTGGGGCTGTCACCATCAGAGTTTGTGGTGGCCTGGGGCCAGCACTATAGTCTTTGAGCAGTTGTTCCAAGAGGAACAGGCCTGAGGTCTAGAGCTGTTCTCAGTAGAGGTGGGGCTGGGCGTGTGTGTTCTCACTGTACAGTCTGGAGTACAAAGTCTCATTCCCATTGCTGAATATGGGAAGAAAAGCTAGCAAGGGGGAGAATGGAGTCTTGGGCTGGGTCCCAAGATTTGTCCCAGAGCTGCTCCAAGATGGCCACAGCCAGCCACATCTCCAACCCACTTCTTCCTGCAAGAGGAAAGAGTCAATATCTCAAGGGTGTGTGTCTGCATACACACCTGTCCATGTGAGCACCTACTGGCACACAATAAGTGTTTTCTGTGGACTTCCCGAACCTTGTGTGTCTGCAGAGGACTCAGTGAGCTTTTCGTTAGATACAGGAAAAGGAAGGGTTGAAGAAGGGTCCAATTATGACTTCTGGTGGCTGAGGAGGTGACACTTCCCAGAGAAGCTACCCAGCTCCTATCAGTGTCCAGGGCTCCTTGTGGGGTCACTAGTTTAGGCATAAGTCAGTCAGCTCTCCTGGGGCCTTTAAGACCCCTTTATGCCCTCCTGCCCTGTTACCTTACACATGGTTGTCTCCTGGAAAAGCAGCCCCTTAAATAGCTAAACTGAGGACTCTTCTTGAGGTGGACAAGGCATGGTCCACCCAGGGGACAGTTGCTGTGAGTGGTTGTGAGGTTCTGTGGGTGACAGCCTGCCACCCCACCCCCTCTGGAGCATGAAGGGGAGTTCATCCTGGGGCAGTATGCAAGAGGCCCTCTGGTAGAGAGATCATAGCACAGAATAAGTAAGAACAGCTCTGGTGGCCTGTAGGGGTGAAGTAAGGCCACATTGTGCAACTCATTTGGGGTCAGGAACCCCCTGGAAGCTCAGCTACTCCAAGCTGTCTGAACCAGATGTGAGCATCTGGCCAGCTGATAGACAGGGGGGTCATGGAACAGTTCCTGACCAGCTTGCATCTCAGTGACCACCTGGAACCTAGGTGAACCTGTATCTGGGTCACTTAGTCTCAGAGTGACCTGGCAGCAATAAGTGCTGTCAAGGTCAGCCAATGACTGCCACAGTAGGCTCAGCACAGGCCCCTCTCCTTAGGGCTTCCTGTGCCCAACAAGGCAGACCCCAACAGCTAGACATGGCCCCTGGCTATGCCTGCCTAGCACTGTAATCCTGGAGGGAGTGCTGTGAGCCAGGCTGGGGTGGCCACAGGACCTGGAGCTACAGGATAGGGAGAGAGATACTTTTTGGGAACCAGGCTGTCTAATAGCATTTCACCATGGAGATCAAAGGGTGTGGTTTGGCTGGATTGTAAGGCTGAGCAGTGACCAGTGGTGGGAGGGATGTGGGGCCTTTGGCTGTCAGGTGGCTCGGGGTGACAATGGTCACAAGATGCTTGTCCAGCCTGGTTGCTGATTGCCATCTGTGAAAGAGGCTCAAGCATCAGCCAGGGACTGGTTCTCCAGGGCTGGAAACACCAGTGATTCTGGGCCTGTCCCTCCTGTCTGTCCCTAGATGCCTGTGGAAGAACCACACTGGAATATTCCAGAGCTCACCTCACTCCTGCTGTGCTGAGTTGCTCTGCTATTGTTCTAAACAGGCCTCTTCTGGCTGTGTGGCTTCAGGCTGTGTGTGCCTCTTTGCTGGAGGCTTGATGATGCAGCAGGGGAGGCGGGTATGGGGTCCCTGGGATGTACAGCACCTGCCCACACAACCACCCCAGCATAGTACCCATCACTGCTGGGGATGGGGGTGTTCTGAGGTTGCATGAGGGGCAGGAAGAGGAGCCTGTGTCTGGCAGCCATGGCAGCAGGAAGCAGGAAAGGCAAGCTTCTTGCTCCTGTTTGGCTTTCCTTTTCCTGGGTGCCACTTGCACTCATCTGGAGGTGTTGTTGTGCCCAACAGTGGGAGGGAGGAAGTATAACAGGCTATGTCTGGGATGTTTTATCTACCCCAGGGGACAGCCAGAGGCTTCCCCACAGGATGGTGCTGTCCCTTTTGCTCAGCCCCCAGTCTCACACATGAGCAGGTCAGGCAGCCCTGTCTAGTGCTG